CGAACAACGGCGCTTGGTCGCCCAACGGAGGCGCGAGACGTTTTCTAAATCATCTAATGCAATTTCATAACCTTTACGGATTCCATAGGATTGGATGGAATTGAAATTTTTCTTTTTTGGATTCCATGGGATTGGACCATCTCATTTCGAATCCCATCTAATTTTATCTAATTCCGCCAAAAAAGGGATTCAAAAGTATTAAAAAATTTCAATATCTTTTAATCCTTTTGCGTTTGCTGGGATAACGTTAAGATGCGTAATGTATAAATTCGGAAATAGTTAAACGGATTTTTTATGTAAAAAGCGAATACCATCAACTTGTAAAAAGATACCAAAAACCTAAATCCAATATATGACAAAGTCATCTCTTGTATATAAACCCGCTATATTTACTCTTTTAACCTTATAACAATGTACATTTATTAATCTTGTCAGTTGCTTGCTCGCTCCCGACCGTTCGTCACCTTCCAGCGGTGTGGCTCCGTTTAACTATTTCCGAATTTATACATTACGCATCTTAACGTTATGAAATTCACATCAAGACGCTCTACGATACCGAACATGTAATTACTCATCACTCTATACTTTTTAATTGTTAATTTTACTCTTTAACTACCACTAATGGAGAGGTTTTTATAGCTTTTGACATATGACTTTTTCGGTAAAAATCGTATTCCTGATATGTTTACGCGAGAGCTATGGTTCCATGCCAGTTTATAGGTAGGACATTTAATTGTTTCCGTTATATTTTTGTTATAATTCTAACTAATTCCGGCGTTACCAAATTTTTTGTTACAAGACACTTAAGAAGGACCCAAAACCCCCGGGTCGAAACGTCGTGATTAAGCGTTATTATTGTTTCTCGCCAATTACGTCGATTGAATAAAGAGTCCTGGTTTTAATTATTTTGTTGGCGGATTAATTTTTATTTTAAAAAAATATATGATTATATCTATCTCTTATACATTTTAATATCACAGCATATTATATAATATGATAATAAACTTTAGTCACATGAAAAAACAAAATTAAAATTAATAATGTTGTATAGTACAAAGCATATTACAATGCATTATATATAACTAAAATCTTTTTTATATTCTGTAGTATTACTGTGAGGAAAAATAAAAATATTACTTCTCATAATCGCATAAAACGCAATACTACATTTGTCAATTCTTTTTTAATGACATTATAGGCTACTATGATGAATAATCATCTGAATCTTTGACATAAGGAACTAGTTTTTTATTATTAATATCGGGAAGATGCTTGTTACTGTCATTTTCCACATCAGTTAAAGAAGTTTCACTTTGTTCACCACTTTCATTCAAAATAGAGGTTTCTTCCGTTTCAGACATGTTCATGAAGATCTGGGTTTCTTTCATTCTGTTGCTTTGCTTCCCATCTGTCAAGAATAAAAAGAAATTAGAATTAACATAAACAAAAAACGAGATTAATACAGTAAGTTACTTATGTTTTAGCTCGGCCAATTGACTGACGAAGAAACTCTTTGATACCTGTAATAACATCTTTAGTAGCATCAGGTGCAACCACTGTATCTATATGTTTAGTATGCCTAGTTGCACCTACACAGATAAGAATAAACATAATCAAAAAAGAAAAAACGATGAGCTATCACTATCTTAAAAGTTTGCCTTACAAAACATACAGCTGTATACATAAGATTTGGTAATCACGATGCTCTTAATGACACAAAGTAAAAATTATAAATAATAAAATAACTTGCAAGCTTACAAATGACGGCAGTCAGCAATCCATTAAAAAGACAAAATTGTCGTTTGCCTTTCCCCCCTTTCCAACTGTATTTTGTTGTAAGAGTGCAATGGATGATTCTTCCCATGATTGCCATCGTGATTTTTTTGGAATTTTTTCCACCTATTGTAGATAGATGCAAAATCTGAAAAAAGGGAGAGTGTGAAAACAATATTAGTTAAATGTACAGAGTATTAAAAATCAGAAATATGTAATTAATTACACAGTAAATTGTACAATAAACCACACGAATTAGCATTTAGAATAAAATGCTTATACATATTTTAAAACACATGAGGGAATTAAACACAAAGTAGCAGAATTTTACTTCTATAATATTTTTAATAATATTTTTTGTTTTGTGAATAAGAAATTCCATATATGAGATACACACACACACACGCACAGATATATATATATATATATATATATATATATGTATATGTATATATATTTCTTTTGTTAATACTCACCACTTTACTTCTGTAAGCTTTGTCAGTTTTCAACTTGTTGTCAAATTCTGCTAAAGACTGCACATCATTAATACATTTAAGAACGTCAACATGAAATTGATTGTGTAAAGAATGTGATAGAAATTTCTTTCAATGAGATGCATTTTCAAGCAATTCCGATATAACAATATAAAAATAGGTAATTGCATTACAATTATGGCTCGTCTACAATAGCCGTAAAAGTATGCATGGCAGTAAAACGTGAGTAGTATAAGCTATTGACCAACCACAGTCGATTATTCTTGAATTGTAAAAATCCCATTAGTCAACAGCTTACGTCTTACTGCATTATACTGTTGCGGCTATTGTAGACGAGCCATTAAGTTTAGGTTATGTTAGGTTAGCTTTTATCAACAAACCAATAAACGATAAGATTTTAATATTCACGATATATTGATAACTAGTAAAGAATTTTGTTTCATTACGGCTATATTTTTTTATATTTTAGACTTTCACGATGTAGTAAGATGCTTAATCTGATGTCATGTTTTTCATAGGCGGAACGTCGGAATTAAATTCATGAAGAACGCGGCAGCATCTTGGAAGCCAGATCAGGCTATAGTTTTATATACCACAATTTATTATTTTGTAAATTACGCAGTAATACTTACATCAATTGTAATATAGAAAGTCGATGATATAGGGAGTCTGATGCACGAATATTGCCGACTTGACTGTTGAAACGTGACTAGGACTAGCGAAAACGGACAGCATTGGCACATGGACACACATGGGGTGCGTTTCGATATTCACTGTAAGTACTGACGATATGACGTCATTGAGTAGAACTGCAGGAGCGTTTCTATATTGCTGCTGTTACTTTCAGGCTGGAATAACGGCCACGACGACCACAGTACTGTCAGTACTGCCAGTGAATGTCGAAACGCACCCGTATACGAAAGAAATATAACCTATCTTAACCTATCTTACAATTAGACACAACGTGACACGACGATAAGAGTACCTATTCTAAATATATAAAAAAGAATCTTGTACTTAAACAATAATGTTGCAAAAGTCATGTCTATAAAATAAATAACAGTTTTCAGAATTATAAAAATATCGAAATTATTTATTGTTGAGGATAGAAACCAAATTCCGTTGCGAGAGAGGAATTGTTGGGCGCCGTATCTTTGCCAACGGCCCTGATCGCGAAGTGAGGCGAAAAGAAAGGGCCATTACCGAGATATCGAACACGGCCCTGCCATGGAGCGTCGCCCAATAATCCTTCGTTCCCGTTCAATTTGTGCGAACTTATGCGAGTCATGCGCACGCGTTTACGCGCTTTCGTGCAATACGCGACGCGGTTCGATCACGGATCGATATGATTCGTCCTCCCTGTAACGCACCCGGCTCCCCCGCCGAGCCACCCTCATGTCGGAACACGACCGTCCGCCGGTAGGCAGAATAGTAGTAGCACTCGCGCCGAAAAGTCGAAAACCGTTCGCCGCGATCCGCACTCTCGATCGATTGCCGCGCGAGACGGAGGTCATACGCTCCACCAGCCGTCTTCAACGGGGAAGTGGACGACCTCAGTGAGCGAGAACGCGATTCTCCTCACCGACTTGGTGCACAAAAGGCTTAACTTCTGTGCGGGACTCGTCGCTCTCGGAGCCGTCCCCCAGCGAAACGTTAAAAGCGTCGCACGTGATACTCCACTTAGTGAGATCACGCATCGCACACTGTATCATTAAAAGCGTCGCACGTGATACTCCGCTTAGTGAGATCACGCATCGCACACTGTATCGTTAAAAGACAACTGTGCTTAATTGTGCTGTGATTAAAGATATTAACCAAAGAAACGGCGGTAATCATTTGCAAACTCCTCGCCGATCAGAGATACGCTTCGCGCCCTTGTCAGGGCGCAATCCGGCAAACCTTCGTGTCCCAAGGCTCCCTTGGCCGGGCACGAAACATTTTGTCTTTATTATTATATTAATTATATTAATTTAGTAGTAGTAGTAGTAATCTTTTCGGGCTTTTTCCGCATCTTCGTAACTAACGATTATTGTATATTTCTCGTTGTTGCCTTCCAGGTCCACAAGGACCAAACCTATGTGAACCTGGCACCCGACTTCCGAAAAATTAATTTTTTTACAGAAAACGTTAGCATTTTGTTTGTAGTTGTTTGTAGTAACAAAAATTTCGTTTGTAGTTTAATACATTAAAAATGATAAAAATTAAAAAAATTACTCGCACCCCACTTTGAGATATCTCAAATCCGTTTGCGCCATCTTCTTTAGAATCATTTGTAGTTGTTTGCAGTGCTTTTCTTTTTGTTTATAGTTGCACCATTCAAAAGTTATTATATTTTTGCAATAAACAAAAAGAGTAACTTTGCCAATTTTGGAGATATCTCAAATCCGCTTGCGCCGCCATCTTCTTCAGAATCATTTGTAGTGCTTTTCTTTTTATTGTTTATAGTTGCACCATTCAAAAGTTATTATATTTTTGCAATAAACAAAAAGAGTAACTTTACCAATTTTGGAGATATCTCAAATCCGCTTGCGCCATCTTTTTCAGAATCATTTGTAGTTGTTTGTAGTGCTTTTCTTTTTGTTTATAGTTGCACCATTCAAAAGTTA